CAACCTGTTCTTATTTTTTCAGACTTTGATGCTGGAAAAAAAAAGGTCCCATTTAGAAACCTATATTATGGATAATATTGGTCGCGAAAGCCTGCTGCTACGACTACCACGTGTATTAAAATCAGGTGAATAAGTAATCGGGATTAGCATGAATGGCGACGACGTGATAACAATCTATTGAATAATTATCATGAATTAGCACCTTACTATCTCGGAACTTTTGTAAGTCGGAAAAATGCACAGGGTGGCCAAAAGTTCAGGACATGGGGTTATTAGAATGATACAGGGTGGCCCAAAAGTCAGGACACATAGGGGTTGTTGTTGTTATTATACAGGGTGGCCAAAACGTCAGGACACATAGGAGTTGTTATTATACAGGGTGGCCCAAAAGTCAGGACACATAGGGTTATTATAATATGTTTGTTTTTAGTATTTTTATAATATAGGGTTATTATTAGTGTTATATAATATAGGATTATTATCATATAATATAGGGTTGTTATTAGTATTATATAATATATGGTTGTTATTATTGGTATACAGCGTTGGGTTAACGTTGCACGAAAGTTGACCCAACGTTCATGAAACGTTGTTGTAAATGACACTCGTGACTTTCATTTCGCGTCGTTCCCTAGCTCAGGCCCGGACAGCTCCGTTTGGGGCCCCACGATTGGCTAGGAGATGCATGTTTATCTCTCTCTCCCCGTGGTGAGATATTCACTACCTCGCCTGGTCCAGAGGAGGTCGTGGGTTCCATCCCGACCCTGACGCCTGCTGCTGTACATTTGGAATCTGCGTGTCTCTCTCTCTCTCCTCCGTGGTGAGATGTTAACTACCTCGCCTGGTCTACAGGAGGTCGTGGGTTCGATCCCGACCCTGACGATGCCTGCTGCTGTATATTGTTTGTCGGTCTCCCCAAAGCGACGATTATCTAAACCTGTCCTCGACCTCCCCTAGGTCGACTAAGCCGCCCATGAGTACCTGGTGCGATGTGTAAACATCGCCACTAGAGAGACAAAGGCGGCCGGGCGTGGTGCTGGCCACCCACCCCCTCGTGTGCCGTGCCGGTCTTCATAGGTGCTCACTAACAGCACTTGCCCCTACAGTCTGTTAACGCTGTACGGGGGATCTTTGTTTTTTTTTGTGAGATGTTAACTACCTCGCATGGTATGCAGGAGGTCACGGGTTCCATCCCGACCCTGACGCCTGCTGCTGTATATTTGGAGTCTGCTGCCTCTCTCTCTCTCTGTCCGTGGTGGTGGTCACTGCTTTGATTTTTCTCCGGGTCCTCCGACACGGCACACGAGGGGGTGGGTGGCCAGCACCACGCCCGACCGCCTTTGTCTCCCTAGTGTCAATGCTCCTAGATCACGCCAGGTGCTCATTTGAGGTAGAGTCGACCTAGGGGAGTCCCAGGACCGGTGCAGATAATCGTCACCGGTGGTGTTGGCCGTGAGCGGGAATCGAACCCGGGTCGCCGGGTTTCGTAGCGCAGCGTAGCGCTTACCGCTACAAAAAAGATCTCCCATGTAGCCTTAACAGACTGTAAGGGCAAGTGCTGTTAGCGAGCACCTATGAAGGCCGGAACGGTACACGAGGAGGTGGGTGGCCAGCACCACGCCCGACCGCCTTTGTCTCCCTAGTGGCAATGCTTACACACCGCACCAGGTACTCATTTGAGGCTGAGTCGACCTGGGAGAGGCCCGGGACCGGTTCAGATAATCGTCAGTGGTGTTGGCCGTGAGCGGGAATCGAACCCGGGTCGCCAGGTTCATAGTGCAACGCGCTTACCGCTACAAAGACAAAGATCCCCCGTATAGCCTTAACAGACTGTAGGGGCAAGTGCTGTTGGCGAGCACCTATGAAGGCCGGATCGGTACACGAGGGGGTGGGTGGCCAGCACCACGCCCGACCGCCTTTGTCTCCCTAGTGGCAATGTTTACACACCGCACCAGGTACTCATTTGAGGCTGAGTCGACCTAGGGGAGGCCCGGGAGCGGTGCAGATAATCGTCACCGGTGGTGTTGGCCGTGAGCGGGAATCGAACCCGGGTCGCCAGGTTCATAGTGCAGCGCGCTTACCGCTACACTACCACACACACGCACACACAGACACAAGATGCCCCCTTCCTGATTTGAATCGGTGAAAACCCATGACATTCGAGACGCGTTGACCAACTATCAGGCAAGTCCAGCGTGTAAATGCCGTCCGCTCACAAGAACGCGTGCCAACCGAGTTCGATTCCAGCACGCGGCCACCGCAAAAAAACAGCTGTGACTATTCTCTCTGGTACAGTCCATGGGCCTCGCCTAGGTCGACTCGGCCTCAAATGAGTGGCATGGCGCGGTGTGTAAACACTGCCACTAGGGAGACAAAGGCGGTCGGGCGTGGTGCTGGCCGTCCACCCCCCTCGTGTGCCAAAGTGCCGGCCTTTCTAGGTGCTCGCTAACAGCACTTGCCCCTACAGTCTGTTAAGGCTACACGGGGGATCTTTGTCTTTGTACACCAGGGCTTCGTGTGTCCTGTGTGGCATAGGGCTTTGTATGTTGGCTTGCTCTTCTGCAGAGTTGTAAAGCGAACGTGATGATTCCATTTTTTCTGTTTCGATTTAAAGCTTTCGTGACTGCAGGGATTCATATTCTTGGATCTTTCGGTAAAAGTCACCACCACGTAGAAGGGAAACAATAAAATAATAAAAATAAAACAATAAAATTCTCACGACGTTTCGATTGCAACACAAGCAATCATCATCAGGTGTGAAAACCACAGCAAGAAATTTTTCTCGTGTTGCAATCGAAACGTCGTGATAATTTTATTGTTTTATTTTTTTATTTTATTACTTCCCTTCTACTTGACTTGACCGAAAGAACCAAGAATATGATTATTCATTATAAAGGTTTCTGGGTTAGATTGCGATCTAACCCAAAAGCCTTTATTGTGATTAATATTGGTCGCGAAAGCCGACGTGTTAAACTGAGCGTGATGAGTATGAGATTGAGTGATTGTAAGTGGAATTTGTATGATCTCCCCCTGTTCTGCAGAGTGAGTGGAATTTGTATGATCTCCGCCTGTTCTACAAAGTGAGTGAGTGGAGTTTGTGTGATTTCCCCCTGTTCTACAAAGTGAGTGAGTGGGGTTTGTATGATCTCCCCCTGTTCTACAGAGGGAGAGTGAGTGGAGTTTGTATGATCTCCCCCTGTTCTACAGAGTTAGTGGAGTTTTTTATGATCTCCCCCTGTTCTACAGAGTGAGAGTGAGTGGAGTTTGTGTGATCTCCACCTGTTCTACAGAGTGAGTGGAGTTTGTATGATGTCCCCCTGTTCTACAGAGTGAGTGGAGTTTGTATGATCTCCCCCTGTTCTGCAGAGTGAGAGTGAGTGGAGTTTGTATGATCTCCCCCTGTTCTACAGAGTGAGAGTGAGTGGAGTTTGTATGATCTCCCCCTGTTCTACAGAGCGAGTGAGTGGAGTTTGTATGATCTCCCCCTGTTCTACAGAGTGAGTGAGTGGAGTTTGTATGATCT